GTTGAGGATCTCGCAACGTGCCGTTGAGAACTGCGCAACGCAGGGTTGACTATACCCTCCCCTTCAAAAAGCGAGAAAGTGTCGGGTGCAGACCATGCACCACAAGTGACGACGGCCTTCACAAAATGTTAATGTTTTCTGCCAATGAAATGATTAGCCTGTTGCAGTTGTATTCTATCGATTGTCACTAATTACAACTATCATTTACCAGAAATCAGCTATCACTATGAACAACTTCTAACCAGATTTACTTGGAGGCCGTCGTCAGTTGTGGTGTTTGGTCTGCACCCGACACTTTCTCGCTTTTTGAAGGGGAGGTTAGATACTGTTTGGACGAGCTAACCCTATGGGAGATACGATACAATTAGATAAGAAGATGCGGCTGCTTGGAATGAGGTGCACTGCAGCAACGCCGAACCGGATGTGGGTTTTGGCGCCTTATCACGCCGTTGATAAGGCGCCACTGCCCCTGAAGCGTCACCTGTCGTCCTCATTGGGTAGGACCCCTACCCAATCCACTATGTCACTTTAACTATCGTCTCCATAGGAATTTCCGTGACCACTTCCTTTAAGAACTTGAATGGCCATGAGCTCACAGCATTGTGGGGAAATTTTGTTCTGCCTTTCAGGGGTAGCTTGTGACTGCGCCCATGCTTGTACATTCGAAGAGCAGGATGATGGAACAGTAACGTCGAAATGCTACTGCCACAGTGGCTTTACGTTAGCCAGTGATCAAAAGTCGTGTGAGCCTTCCACCGAAGCACCAACAGCATACACAATTGTTAGAGTGCGTTGTCTTTTCATCATTATCCATTACCTACAATAATAGTAACTTCATACGAACTTTGTAGGTAACTCCTCCTGCATTCGCAACGGAAGTGCAGCCGGAAGAAATATCGTCGACCGGCCCGAGCGCATCACCGCTGCCAACTGGAGCTGACGGCAGAACTTTGGAATTTGAAGAAATCAGGTCAACCGTGCGACCAACGGACTCAAGTGGGCGCGAACTTCCGCTAGTCGTCGGACCAGACGGCGTGCCGCTCAGTGTGAATGCTGACGGAGAACTTGTCGATAACAACAACAGCCCTATTATTATTGAAGATGGAGAACCACGAGATCCTTTTGGCAATCCACTGCCTCGCAATAAGGATGGAGCTTGGGTATATCCTCTTGTAGACAAAAGTGGCAAACCACTACCTGTCGATGAGAACAACATGCCAAAAATTACTGTCGTAGCGGCTGACGGGGGTGACATTACTGTGGATGAGAACGGGAATCTGATTACGTCAGACGGTCGCGTGATCCCAACCGATGTTATTGGAAGACCACTTGATGAACATGGAGAGCCATACGAAATTAATGAAGAGGGGCAATTTGTAGTAGAATCGATAGATACTGAACCTGCAATTGAAGAAGAGGAGAGGCCGAGCATTCCTCTACTGACAGTAGATGGAGAGCCATTAACAGTTGACGAGAGTGGGCATTTTGTTGACTCATCAGGTGCAATTATTCCCACGAACGAGGACGGAATACCAGTCGATGAATATGGAAGGCCACTCAAAAAGAACAAATATGGGAAGTACATTCTGCCGTCGAGGAAAGATGCATCTACTCAAACAGATATGTTACCACATCCTACGGATGAGAGCGGAAATATAATATACCCCATTAAGAAACCAGACGGATCGCTGCTTCCAACAGATGCAACCGGAAACTACATTACTGAAGACGGATCACTTGTCGAGCGAGATGAGGAGGGAAGACCTGTGGGACCAGGGGGCGAGGTTTTACCGACGGACGATTCTGGAAGTTACATATATCCTGCATTGGGACCCGATGGAAGTCCGCTTCCTACTGATGAGCACAAGCGACCCATTCATCCGGTTCTTGGACCTGACGGATCGCCTCTTCCTACTGATGACTCGGGTCATCCTCTTGGAAAGATGGTAGACCCATACCGACTGATCGCAGTGGAGTTCCATTGGACAAAGATGGAGAACCTCTGCCAACTGACAGTAGCGGACATTACGTCACAGTGCCACGGGAAGAAGCTGCTAGCAAGGAGCTGCCTACAGATGAGAGCGGAAACGTCATTTATCCCGTAACGAAGCCGGACGGATCACCTCTGCCTACTGATTCTTCCGGAAACTACGTCACTGACGAAGGAACCGATCATCGAAGAAAGATGAGGAAGGACGTCCTCTTGGACCAGACGGGCAAGTTCTACCAACAGATGACACAGGAAACTTCATATACCCAGTCCTCGGACCTGATGGTAGTCCACTTCCTACTGATGAGCACAAGCGACCCATTCATCCGGTTCTTGGACCTGACGGATCGCCTCTTCCAACTGATGACTCGGGTCATCCTCTTCGGAGAAGATGGTAGACCTATACCAACTGATCGCAGTGGAGTTCCACTGGACAAAGATGGAGAACCTCTGCCAACTGACAGTAGCGGACATTACGTCACAGTGCCACGGGAAGAAGCTGCTAGCAAGGAGCTGCCTACAGATGAGAGCGGAAACGTCATTTATCCCGTAACGAAGCCGGACGGATCACCTCTGCCTACTGATTCTTCCGGAAACTACGTCACTGACGAAGGAACCGATCATCGAAGAAAGATGAGGAAGGACGTCCTCTTGGACCAGACGGGCAAGTTCTACCAACAGATGACACAGGAAACTTCATATACCCAGTCCTCGGACCTGATGGTAGTCCACTTCCTACTGATGAGCACAAGCGACCCATTCATCCGGTTCTTGGACCTGACGGATCGCCTCTTCCTACTGATGACTCGGGTCATCCTCTTCGGAGAAGATGGTAGACCTATACCAACTGATCGCAGTGGAGTTCCACTGGACAAAGATGGAGAACCTCTGCCAACTGACAGTAGCGGACATTACGTCACAGTGCCACGGGAAGAAGCTGCTAGCAAGGAGCTGCCTACAGATGAGAGCGGAAACGTCATTTATCCCGTAACGAAGCCGGACGGATCTCCTCTGCCTACTGATTCTTCCGGAAACTACGTCACTGACGAAGGAACGATCATCGAGAAAGATGAGGAGGGACGTCCTCTTGGACCAGACGGGCAAGTTCTACCAACAGATGACACAGGAAACTTCATATACCCAGTCCTCGGACCTGATGGTAGTCCACTTCCTACTGATGAGCACAAGCGACCCATTCATCCGGTTCTTGGACCTGACGGATCGCCTCTTCCCACTGATGACTCGGGTCATCCTCTCGGAGAAGATGGTAGACCTATACCAACTGATCGCAGTGGAGTTCCACTGGACAAAGATGGAGAACCTCTGCCAACTGACAGTAGCGGACATTACGTCACAGTGCCACGGGAAGAAGCTGCTAGCAAGGAGCTGCCTACAGATGAGAGCGGAAACGTCATTTATCCCGTAACGAAGCCGGACGGATCTCCTCTGCCTACTGATTCTTCCGGAAACTACGTCACTGACGAAGGAACGATCATCGAGAAAGATGAGGAGGGACGTCCTCTTGGACCAGACGGGCAAGTTCTACCAACAGATGACACAGGAAACTTCATATACCCAGTCCTCGGACCTGATGGTAGTCCACTTCCTACTGATGAGCACAAGCGACCCATTCATCCGGTTCTTGGACCTGACGGATCGCCTCTTCCTACTGATGACTCGGGTCATCCTCTCGGAGAAGATGGTAGACCTATACCAACTGATCGCAGTGGAGTTCCACTGGACAAAGATGGAGAACCTCTGCCAACTGACAGTAGCGGACATTACGTCACAGTGCCACGGGAAGAAGCTGCTAGCAAGGAGCTGCCTACAGATGAGAGCGGAAACGTCATTTATCCCGTAACGAAGCCGGACGGATCTCCTCTGCCTACTGATTCTTCCGGAAACTACGTCACTGACGAAGGAACGATCATCGAGAAAGATGAGGAGGGACGTCCTCTTGGACCAGACGGGCAAGTTCTTCCAACAGATGAGACAGGAACGTTCATTTATATCTCAGAAGACAGAGGAGTAACACCCGTTTCCGAAGAAATGCGTTGCTCTCCAAAGGATCCCCCGACAGAAACTGTGCTATTTGTTGTTGAAAGCTCTCAACAAAGTACAGATTATCTCGGTTCAATTAGGAATTTACTCAAATCATTCTTAAGTTCCTTACCTGAGGAAAGCTTCCCTAAGATTGGAAAGCTGATTTATGGTGCTACGACAGAAGTCACTATTGACATAGGACATTACAAAGATAGAGAAGAGCTGGTGGCTTCATTCGATGAGATCAGAGAAGTAGGAGGTGTACCCGATGCGAAGCTAGCTCTGGAAATTGCTCATCAACTCCTGATGGAGGAAGAACGTGGAGCAACTGTTGTCCTTCATTTCTACGTGACGCCAATGAGGTGTGTTTCTGTTCATCTTCTTTTCTAGCAAGGAGCGTACATCATTTTCAAATGTTCCTTATACTTGTTTCAGAAAGAAGGACAAACTGATGGCTGAGCGAATGCGAAAGAGTGGTGTGAAACTCTTTCATCTTGATGAGAAGGATTGGTCTCTACGTGATCCGTCAGCATTGCACAATTTTGTGTGCTTGAAAAAAGGTATGAGTTTGTACATATATACATATTTCGACTCAAAAATTTCACGTCGTATTTGCCTTGATATTGTGTCTTTGCTGCCGCCCAGAAAAGGCATTGTTGAAGGGGTATGTTAAACTTCGAAGTTCTTTCTGTAGCGTTTTTTTTTCTTGTCGAGCTCTAGTTCATTTTTTATTGTCGCGAGAGTGGCTTTGCTAGAACAAAAGAAATAGTTGGGCACTATTGCACTATTACAACCCCAAAGGGGTGAGATGGGTCAAAAAATAATTTTCGCTGAAACTTCGGCTATGGGGGTTATCGAGGGTCCTGATCACGAATATGATATTCATTTTTGGCGCTGGCGCCAATTGGCGCCACGACTGATTTCACCAAATTCGCTGTAAACTTCTGTATAGGGGTTATTTGGGGTCCTGATTACGAATATGACATTCGTTTTTGTTGTTAGCGCTATTCGGCGCCTATTTCCTGCTCGTCTGCGCCCTCGCACTAATTAGATCGCAATCAGGACTAAGCCTTTGAATAGTGGAGGGCTCCAAAGTGAGTAGGCCACTCCCCTGTGGTCTAACACACTCCAACTTTTGCCACACGGTGCGTGGTTTACCCACTCCGGAGTTTCACTCCCCTCCCCTAAGCTTAGTCCTAGGCGCTATAGGTGAGAAAGCTTAGAAAAGCAGAAAATATGCGTTAAACAGCACGAATGTCAAAAACGAGTGTCATATTCGTGATCAGGGCCCCAAATAACCCCTATACAGAAGTTTACAGCGAATTTGGTGATAATCAGTGTGGCGCCAGCTGGCGCCAAATGGCGCCAATTTGGCGCCAGCGCCAAAAATGGATGTCATATTCGTGATCAGGACCCTCGATAACCCCCATAGCAAAGTTTCAGCGAAAATTATTTTTGACCCATCTCGGCCCCCACTGGGGTTGTAATAATGCAATAGTGCCAATTGCTCGAGCAATTTATGGTAGGAACTAGTTTCCCTGTAGAAATAAAGGTTGCCACATGACGTCCATGTAAGGGTCCCCTCAGATTTGCGGTCGTGAGTCTAGAATTTTTTTGATGTTGACTCGTCTGGTTCACACGTTGACGACAGGGCGCGTTTCGGCTTTTCGTCCACATAGGATAGACGCTATACTGCGAGGTCGGCCGCCTCACCTGACTCGTAAATTCTACGTGAAAATTTCTGTATTATTTGAGGCAAAGAAGATACTCGGGGGTATGATGTTGCTATTCCCATAAAACAAAGGTGTTAGGGCAATAAAAAACTACATATGAGTCATTTTCTCTTTTATTAACGTCAAAACTATTTTGAAGAGGGTCGTGCCAAGAAACACATACATTTTGCTAACGTATAAGTTTTTGTTCAGTTCTACTATTTTTTTATTCACATGGTCATGAGAATCAGAACAAAATGGGAATGAACTAAGATGCCAATTCCTAATGCTTAGAAAACCTCTGCTAAATTGAACACATTTGGGCGTATGGTGAACCATGCCATTTATAGTATATGTGGTTATGGGCACTTGCACTATTGCACCTCAGGAACACAATCAACAACTCCACTTACAGAACCAGTGGTGTTGTTGAAGAGACCGGATGGATCACCTCTGCCTACGGACACTTCTGGAAACTTTGTCACAGATGAAGGGACCATCATCGAAAAAGACGAGGAAGGCCGTCCTCTTGGACCTGACGGGCAAGTTCTGCCAACGGATGACGCAGGAAACTTTATCTACCCTGCGGTTGGACCTGATGGAAGTCCGCTTCCAACTGATGAGCATAAGCGACCCATTCACCCAATTCTTGGACCTGACGGGTCTCCTCTTCCAACTGACGATTCGGGTCACCCTCTTGGAGCAGACGGTAAACCCATACCGACTGATCGCAGTGGTGTTCCATTGGACAAAGATGGGGAACCATTGCCTACTGACAGCAGTGGGCATTATGTCACTGTTCCACGAGAAGAGGCCGTAAGCAAAGAACTGCCTACGGACGAAAGCGGAAACGTTATCCATCCAGTGACAAAGCCCGATGGATCACCTCTGCCTACTGACACTTCTGGAAACTTTGTCACAGATGAAGGGACCATCATCGAAAAAGACGAGGAAGGCCGTCCTCTTGGACCTGACGGGCAAGTTCTGCCAACGGATGACGCAGGAAACTTTATCTACCCTGCGGTTGGACCTGATGGAAGTCCGCTTCCAACTGATGAGCATAAGCGACCCATTCACCCAATTCTTGGACCTGACGGGTCTCCTCTTCCAACTGACGATTCGGGTCACCCTCTTGGAGCAGACGGTAAACCCATACCGACTGATCGCAGTGGTGTTCCATTGGACAAAGATGGGGAACCATTGCCTACTGACAGCAGTGGGCATTATGTCACTGTTCCACGAGAAGAGGCCGTAAGCAAAGAACTGCCTACGGACGAAAGCGGAAACGTTATCCATCCAGTGACAAAGCCCGATGGATCACCTCTGCCTACTGACACTTCTGGAAACTTTGTCACAGATGAAGGGACCATCATCGAAAAAGACGAGGAAGGCCGTCCTCTTGGACCTGACGGGCAAGTTCTGCCAACGGATGACGCAGGAAACTTTATCTACCCTGCGGTTGGACCTGATGGAAGTCCGCTTCCAACTGATGAGCATAAGCGACCCATTCACCCAATTCTTGGACCTGACGGGTCTCCTCTTCCAACTGACGATTCGGGTCACCCTCTTGGAGCAGACGGTAAACCCATACCGACTGATCGCAGTGGTGTTCCATTGGACAAAGATGGGGAACCATTGCCTACTGACAGCAGTGGGCATTATGTCACTGTTCCACGAGAAGAGGCCGTAAGCAAAGAACTGCCTACGGACGAAAGCGGAAACGTTATCCATCCAGTGACAAAGCCCGATGGATCACCTCTGCCTACTGACACTTCTGGAAACTTTGTCACAGATGAAGGGACCATCATCGAAAAAGACGAGGAAGGCCGTCCTCTTGGACCTGACGGGCAAGTTCTGCCAACGGATGACGCAGGAAACTTTATCTACCCTGCGGTTGGACCTGATGGAAGTCCGCTTCCAACTGATGAGCATAAGCGACCCATTCACCCAATTCTTGGACCTGACGGGTCTCCTCTTCCAACTGACGATTCGGGTCACCCTCTTGGAGCAGACGGTAAACCCATACCGACTGATCGCAGTGGTGTTCCATTGGACAAAGATGGGGAACCATTGCCTACTGACAGCAGTGGGCATTATGTCACTGTTCCACGAGAAGAGGCCGTAAGCAAAGAACTGCCTACGGACGAAAGCGGAAACGTTATCCATCCAGTGACAAAGCCCGATGGATCACCTCTGCCTACTGACACTTCTGGAAACTTTGTCACAGATGAAGGGACCATCATCGAAAAAGACGAGGAAGGCCGTCCTCTTGGACCTGACGGGCAAGTTCTGCCAACGGATGACGCAGGAAACTTTATCTACCCTGCGGTTGGACCTGATGGAAGTCCGCTTCCAACTGATGAGCATAAGCGACCCATTCACCCAATTCTTGGACCTGACGGGTCTCCTCTTCCAACTGACGATTCGGGTCACCCTCTTGGAGCAGACGGTAAACCCATACCGACTGATCGCAGTGGTGTTCCATTGGACAAAGATGGGGAACCATTGCCTACTGACAGCAGTGGGCATTATGTCACTGTTCCACGAGAAGAGGCCGTAAGCAAAGAACTGCCTACGGACGAAAGCGGAAACGTTATCCATCCAGTGACAAAGCCCGATGGATCACCTCTGCCTACTGACACTTCTGGAAACTTTGTCACAGATGAAGGGACCATCATCGAAAAAGACGAGGAAGGCCGTCCTCTTGGACCTGACGGGCAAGTTCTGCCAACGGATGACGCAGGAAACTTTATCTACCCTGCGGTTGGACCTGATGGAAGTCCGCTTCCAACTGATGAGCATAAGCGACCCATTCACCCAATTCTTGGACCTGACGGGTCTCCTCTTCCAACTGACGATTCGGGTCACCCTCTTGGAGCAGACGGTAAACCCATACCGACTGATCGCAGTGGTGTTCCATTGGACAAAGATGGGGAACCATTGCCTACTGACAGCAGTGGGCATTATGTCACTGTTCCACGAGAAGAGGCCGTAAGCAAAGAACTGCCTACGGACGAAAGCGGAAACGTTATCCATCCAGTGACAAAGCCCGATGGATCACCTCTGCCTACTGACACTTCTGGAAACTTTGTCACAGATGAAGGGACCATCATCGAAAAAGACGAGGAAGGCCGTCCTCTTGGACCTGACGGGCAAGTTCTGCCAACGGATGACGCAGGAAACTTTATCTACCCTGCGGTTGGACCTGATGGAAGTCCGCTTCCAACTGATGAGCATAAGCGACCCATTCACCCAATTCTTGGACCTGACGGGTCTCCTCTTCCAACTGACGATTCGGGTCACCCTCTTGGAGCAGACGGTAAACCCATACCGACTGATCGCAGTGGTGTTCCATTGGACAAAGATGGGGAACCATTGCCTACTGACAGCAGTGGGCATTATGTCACTGTTCCACGAGAAGAGGCCGTAAGCAAAGAACTGCCTACGGACGAAAGCGGAAACGTTATCCATCCAGTGACAAAGCCCGATGGATCACCTCTGCCTACTGACACTTCTGGAAACTTTGTCACAGATGAAGGGACCATCATCGAAAAAGACGAGGAAGGCCGTCCTCTTGGACCTGACGGGCAAGTTCTGCCAACGGATGACGCAGGAAACTTTATCTACCCTGCGGTTGGACCTGATGGAAGTCCGCTTCCAACTGATGAGCATAAGCGACCCATTCACCCAATTCTTGGACCTGACGGGTCTCCTCTTCCAACTGACGATTCGGGTCACCCTCTTGGAGCAGACGGTAAACCCATACCGACTGATCGCAGTGGTGTTCCATTGGACAAAGATGGGGAACCATTGCCTACTGACAGCAGTGGGCATTATGTCACTGTTCCACGAGAAGAGGCCGTAAGCAAAGAACTGCCTACGGACGAAAGCGGAAACGTTATCCATCCAGTGACAAAGCCCGATGGATCACCTCTGCCTACTGACACTTCTGGAAACTTTGTCACAGATGAAGGGACCATCATCGAAAAAGACGAGGAAGGCCGTCCTCTTGGACCTGACGGGCAAGTTCTGCCAACGGATGACGCAGGAAACTTTATCTACCCTGCGGTTGGACCTGATGGAAGTCCGCTTCCAACTGATGAGCATAAGCGACCCATTCACCCAATTCTTGGACCTGACGGGTCTCCTCTTCCAACTGACGATTCGGGTCACCCTCTTGGAGCAGACGGTAAACCCATACCGACTGATCGCAGTGGTGTTCCATTGGACAAAGATGGGGAACCATTGCCTACTGACAGCAGTGGGCATTATGTCACTGTTCCACGAGAAGAGGCCGTAAGCAAAGAACTGCCTACGGACGAAAGCGGAAACGTTATCCATCCAGTGACAAAGCCCGATGGATCACCTCTGCCTACTGACACTTCTGGAAACTTTGTCACAGATGAAGGGACCATCATCGAAAAAGACGAGGAAGGCCGTCCTCTTGGACCTGACGGGCAAGTTCTGCCAACGGATGACGCAGGAAACTTTATCTACCCTGCGGTTGGACCTGATGGAAGTCCGCTTCCAACTGATGAGCATAAGCGACCCATTCACCCAATTCTTGGACCTGACGGGTCTCCTCTTCCAACTGACGATTCGGGTCACCCTCTTGGAGCAGACGGTAAACCCATACCGACTGATCGCAGTGGTGTTCCATTGGACAAAGATGGGGAACCATTGCCTACTGACAGCAGTGGGCATTATGTCACTGTTCCACGAGAAGAGGCCGTAAGCAAAGAACTGCCTACGGACTCGTAAGCGAAAACGTTATCCATCCAGTGACAAAGCAGATCGGAAAAGCGTCGTGTAGTGA